GGGGAGTGATCATTCAGCTTTAAAATACGGGGAAGTGTGTGTCAAGTCATCTTCTAGTGGCTTTTCTACAAAGGCTAACAATTACTTAACACAAGTGGCAGGGGTCAGAACTGGGGCTCTAAATATCAAGGGTTAAAATGCTACGATTGCTGACCTCAGGAAGATATTATGAGATTTTATGTAATACAAACAATGAGCATACATATTTAGAAATAATTGCATATTTAAAAACTAGAAATATATGCATAATTGAATAGGTATTATGTATTCCAGTCATTTGTCACTAGTTGTGTTGCTGATGTCATATATTGGCAAAGTGAAAGATTGAGAGAAATGTTTCACGCTGCTAGGGCAGGGACCAAGAGGAAGAAAGAGCACAGTAAGCAGACCTCCTGATGGAGGGCAAAGTGCTCCTAGATGTACCCATTTTCAGAAGGCTGTGAAAGGCAACAGTGTATGTTCAGAAATGAATGACAGTACTGATTTCTTCATGGAGGCTACCTTCAAATGACAGGTTATGTTGTTAATGACAAGTATGGTAGGTTGTTCTTGGAGTACTTACTGAAACTTTTAAACAGAGACAAAATGATGTAGACACATGACATTTAATGAAGCAAGTAGCAGCCTTCTTCCCTTCAGGAAAGTTGATGCAGTCAGGAGCGGCTTCACCAGTACTGTTTTTCTCTAATTCCCAAGCAGGTTCATTTGCACTTCCTCTCTCTTTCCACTTTTAGGCCCTGGGTAGCTATTCATGAGATGTACCAACTCTGTATTAAGAAGCTAGGCAGTGAACACAAATACTAAACTTAGTGACAGTGAAGATTGCATCAGCATATATCTTATCTACCCAAAGCTTGAAATCAGAAGCTAAAAGTTAGGGGGAAACAATTCTTATATTCCTTGCTAATTTTATATTGCACAAGACTTTCACTTCCATCTCCAAAAGATAACAAAAAGTAATACATATCTTAGCTTTATCAAATTTGCACTCTAGCATAAAACTTGAATGGCAACCTCAGCAATTTTAGAGCAGATTCGTTACCAAAATGCTTGGAATGTATGACAGATGTGCTGATCTATTGATACATCGATATTGCAGTTGCTGTTGGAAGAGATACAGAGCTGGTAATTACTCTTTTCTGTTAATATTAAACATTAATGTTTGAGCTTGTAGTTCATTATTAGATTTTAAAATAGCAGTATTCTAACATGAAAGCACATTATTTTAGAGGTTTTATAGTTATAATTTTTCTCCTCCAAGCAGTGTTGTAAAGCTAGCCCATCTTTATAGGCATAAAGAGACAAAATTGTATCAGTTACACATGCTAAACATTCTGAGAACAGGTTGCCTATAGTAAGATGTGGCCAACAAAGTGAAGGTATGGTGTGGTTTAAAAATATTGTGCCAAAGTATTTCAGATAAAACATTGTCACACTGGAAAACACAGAGGAATTAAAATCACCATTCTCTATAGCAGAGGTTCCCAAGCTTTTTCTTATTGCATACCCCCTTCCAGATTCACAAGCTGCCCACATACCCCTACCAGCATACGTTTTCTATTTTAACCCCTTACATGCCAATTATTACAATGAATATTAAATCCGTTATTACAGAGTTTCTCTCGCGTTCCCCCCATTGATGTCTTGGGTACCCCCAAGGGCATGTGTACCACAGTTCGGGAACCTCTGCTCTACAGGATTGTCCTTCACACATGTCAAAACACTTAGTTTTGGCTTGTGTGCTTGACATGCTCAGACAGAGAGAACCGAGCTCTCATTAGTACTTTTGCAGCTGTTTGTGCTGTTTGTGTTACGTAAGTGCATTTTAAGATGTGTCTACGTAGCTGTTAAGGTAGTCTTCAATGGAGTTGAGCTACTGTGACTAAAAGCTACCCTTTTAGATGGGACCTTTTTTCAAGTGAATTTGAC